CGTGAAACCCTGTCACCCTTCTCTTCCCGCCGGGGAAACTAGGTGCGGCAACCCATAGAGGTGGAGTTGCCGAAGACGGCCGACGCCAAGTTCCTTCACGAACGGCGGAGTGCCCCCATTCAAACACCACGAGTAATATACGAGGCCTTAACCATCAAGGAAAAAGAAGACGTTTGTGTGAGTGCACCATCGGTGACACTAACTGACAAGGGATAATTTTACCTTGGGTTGCCATCTTGAGGTTGATCTAGCGGAAATGTCTAGTCCTTTCACCTTCTTCTTTCTTTAAGCTATAGTCTTTTTCTTAATTTGAATATATTCCCCGAAATTGATTTAGTTACGCTGTTCCCATTCTTTTCTTTTCGTTTATGCCTTTCGATTTTCTCGTTTTATTATAAATTTTCTTTCTTCCTTTTTTGGGAGAATTTATACTATGCTTCCTTTTCTTCTTTTCTATTAAAACGCCAGTTGTGATTTAGCGCTTCTCCTGTCTACACGTTCTGTCCTTTGCCCTTTGTCTAATCTTTGCGCTATTTATTTTTTATAGCTTTACTCTTCTTTCGTGGGGTGCGTCAGGTTTCTGCGATGGCGCCAACTCAGCGGATATACCTCACCCATCGGTCAATACATTGATCAAACAAGAGCCCCAGCCCAACTCTGACAAAGTATTCGTCTCCAAACTGTGTCAGCCCTCTGTCTCGCAGTGACGCGTTTAGAGCTTGATTGCACGGGTCTTCCTGGTAGATAGATGTGTCTATGTCAAAAATCACAGGGAAACAAATGCATTGTGTTCTTCGTGAAGCTCTGTTTGTTTTTTTATCTAACGGGGTAATTAGGATGCCTTTAAACGAAGAAAAATAGTCAGTTTGAAAATTTTCGCTATAGATATAAAATTATTACGTTTGATTTTTGTCTACGAACTGGTGCGAAAATTACTTCCGAGCAACATATATAAACTATGTACAGGATTTACTATTTTTAAGGGGATTTCGATTACATATGACGATTTTTCGCGCCACTGACGAGATGGGGTCTTTCAAAGGGCATTTCATTTTTCCTTCGTCATTGGTTATATATATGTGGCAGAATGCAATGAACGGAATTGCTGCCCACTCTGCTTGAAGTGCGAGTGTTCCCCTTATTTCAAAAGAGTAAAAATACTGCAAAAGCATATGGCGAACTGGTTGACCTCAATGGCACTCTCGACACATAAAAATAATGCACAAAAAACGCGACAGAGATATATCGCGGGTGCGGCCAAGCTCCACTCTAACAGACGGTATCTTTTCGGTCGGTGTGGAACAAGTCGGCCGTGAGACCTCTGCTTGTTGTGCAAAGTGTGAAAGCCGTTAACAAGCAAAAACACGATACCCTTCCCAGCATTCAATTTCCCCCTTCGAAGGACGTGTACGCGTTTAGAAAATATCGGTGAATAACTGACAGCTGCAGAAAAAGCAAGATACACATTTGCTTTATTTTCTCGTCGAGGGGCGCGAGCGCGATCCAAAACTTCGATCATGCAATGCTCATGTTGAGCACAAAAACGCTCTGCAGTGTTCGACCGTTCACGAGCCACGGTCGATTTAAACCTTTCCAACATCTCTCAACCGAATGTGACTAATCGTCTCAAACAACCGAAACACATGTTTAAATAGACAAATGGTGCAGCTCGCGCTGTCGGTGTTTTATAAAAAGATTTAAAAGTAAATTTATTGTACAATCTCGTTTTCCTTGTTTCCTTTTCTAAAATTTATGTCCTCCAGTGAATATACGTTTTTCGAACCTTCCCAACAGCCGAAGAGTGCGCGCGAGTGTGGTTACACTCCTTGCGCGTGCTGACATCTGCATCAGTAACTGTTCTAAAACACAATACTAATACTATTCTTTTATTCGTAACACGCCCCAGAACAGCCTATTGGTCAAAGTGTGGTGGCACACAAAAAGTTCAAAAGGGAAAAAATACAAGAAACAGTACGCAATCTCAACCCGACATTACCTCCCGAAATTAAAACATTTCACAAATCAGAAACTGAAAATATGCATAACAAGTAGTCGACATTGAAACGGCATCGCACTTTGCACGCAAGTTCGTCCGGGTTAAGCAGCGACATATTTCTGTTGTTTAGTTTGAATTCATTATACACATAAGGGGAGAGTGCGCAGCGCGTATATCTAATACAAACGCAGCATTATCCTTGAGGGCTCAAAATTTTGCAAAAGGCTAATTTTGCCAGCATTACGTTTGGGAACAACGCCAAAAAAACGTAATAACGCACAACCCAAGCGTGACCGAGAAATATTTGATTTGGCCCTTCACGTGCGCTACAGAACTTGAGAGCTACTACCTTAGTGCGTAAAAGAACAAACAATGTAACGTGTGCCCACCCAGGGTGGCGCTGCAGCGACTCAGCCCGCCAGCACCGGCACGGAACCATCCCCCAAATAGAGCCCCGCACCATGACATTTTAATACACTTTTGCGCGCTGGGCAGACGATCTTGCTTGTCATATAGAGGTCATTGACAGAATTCATACTCAATCACTTTGCAATAAACAAATTCTGTATTTTGCTAGCCGCATGTGCAAAGAGAGAGCACTCATACGTGAAGTGCAAGTTAATATGCTTCTTTTAAAAGGTCCTCGATGATGTCAGAACGCCAGGCACTTATTGGGTGATTGAAAAAAACATATATAGTGGGTAGAGTTTAAGGCATCTATATCATTGAGCTCTACACGCTTTCCTTTGAATCAAAGCCAATCAGAGCTCCCCGTCGTTCTAACGTTACCACAAGAAGCAGACGATTTGCTCTCCGCATACGATATTGAGAGGAAGCTTGAAAAATGACGAGTGCTAGAAAACATTTTAACATAAAAATAATCTTTTCGATCAAGACGTTAAACATAGCTCAACATACACGGTGCGACTCTTCAGATTTGAATTTACACAAAACGTTTTATTTGTTTTTATCCCTCGCCTTTCACCATCCGTAGATCACAGTCATAAACTCACCGACTCGTCTTCAGAAATCAGATGCGCGGTCATGTATTAGCCTGCATGAAAAGTAGCTGTGTGATCCAATTCACGGTGGCCTTACGCCATTAACGCCACTGAACAGGCGCCACTAGAAATGATATATTGCAGCATGCAATATATATTGTGTAAAGCTGTTTATTTCATTTTTTTTTTTTTTTTTTTGTTTCGCAGATGCGACGGTTTCGTATTGCGCTCTCGTGAGATTAGGCGCGCTCACAACCTGTCACCTGGATCTAGGGTTACCTTATCACGGCTGGGACGTCACGGGAAATGCTCATGCGATTACTCTGTCGGATCGTGTTTCGGGAAGGCTGTTGCCACGGGATTACGCATAGTGGAAACACGGGCATCTGGATTGAGGGGATAAGCATACTTGAGCTTTCGCCAGGCAGCAGTTCGACGGAACAAGTAATCTTGTGAAAGGAACGCTAAGATAGTAGTCGCTTTTCCCCAATGCACCTTTCCCTTATCCATAGAGAGAGCGAAAGGGGAAGCTGATTGGAAGAATGAGAAAGAAAAGCATCTTGAGGAGCCCTCAACGGCCAGCCATTGTTTCATTATGAGACCCAGAGAAGCTTAGCCAGGTATTTCTGCGATATGTGGACTAATATTTTGATGCGGCCTAGTTCGTCCTCTTCTGATTACCTCTTGGTTCTTTGTGCTGGGCATACAATAACCGAGATATATGCATCTGGCATGTATTGCCAAACTTTCAGCATGACCCTTTTTACTTGATCGTAAATAGAGACTACTTCTGGTATTTAGTACACGAATCTAGAAAACAACAGGACGAAAGCTACGCACCGAAACCTCAAATGTATTTCCGCTGGAACCCTTGAAACACACTTTTCCAAATGCACATTTTTTTTTCTTCTGACAACATGCCTTCATTCTGACAACATGCTTATAGTGCTGTCATTCTAAAGAAATAATTAATCAGATATTGATGTAGTATTTTTTTTATTTCCGGCAATTTTAAGAGGGAACAGGAACATTATTCTTCTATAGAGGATAATTACAGAAGAGTACTCTTTATAATCAGCTCCCTATTATTTTAAAAATAAAAAACAAAAAAACGTTATCATAATTTTCCAAGTTATTGTCAACTTTCAGAACACAAACGTTTTAAGGTATGCCTAATTGTAATTTCGATTATTCAGATTTGAAAGATATAACATTTAAGACGTTCGATATAGCCATCCGGTGCTTTTCATATGAAAACAAAGTTGGATTTATTTATTACTCAGTGGAAGTCTGAATTATCATTTTTTTTATTAAATTTGATTCGCAATAGACGCAGTCTTTATAAAATTAATATAAACCGTGTTAGCTTGAAAACGTCTGAACGGTACAACATCCGCAGCTTCTCTTGTGAAGTAAACATATTAAACCGGACCTCTATTTATCACACAATAAAACAAGTATACAAATTTAATATGTCTTCATTATTACGAACTCGTAGTTTTTCAAAATTTTCACTTCATGAACCCTTCACTCTGAACATAAAATATTGAAATCTTAAAAAAGAAAACGCTAGCTCAACAGGAAGGAGGTATGTATCACTTGTAACACAAAATACGCATGATGTGTCGATAAGTTTTGGGCTCTAAAAACACAACATCTCACTGATGACATTTTGAAGAGCATTTCAGTCCCTTCTCTCATAATAGCGTAAAGAATTTGTACTGTCACTGATTTCTGTCGCGCGAAGTAGAGTCCTATAAAACCGAATATTTCTATGTTCCAAAGACTCGTCCGCATTTCGTTCCGCACATTGCGCCCCTAATGACACATTAGCGGTAAGATTTCAACGCCACAACGGCGGGTAACCATAAATTACGACATAAACACAAAGGGGGCGGGCACCAGCGCACAAATATAAGCCATTATGCTGCCACCGACCGAGTAAAGTTTATCGAGCCAAATTTGCAAATATCACTTTATATACAAAAAATAGAAGCACTTACCCTGGTACCAGAGGAACCACGGACGAGCATAAAATCGCTGTCACGAGGGCCACGCCGTTCACTCGAAATGACACGCTCATGTTTTGCGGACCGTCCGTCGAGAGCTGAGCCGAATGCGGGAGCCGGCAGAGACGGGCACAAACCCTCTGTTGGCGGCCCCCAGGCCCAAACCGCGGCTGCCGAGATGCGTGGCGAGAGTCCCATTTTCGTCATTGGATGCCGGGCGCACCCACTCTCTTCCCCTTTCCGCTCCTTTCCCTCTTTCCTCACTCGCTCTCTTGTCAGGGCTCCCTTCTCCTTTATCTTGCCGTTCCAGCCTTTGTAAGACTACAACGTCGGTATAGACTTCTCAGCTGTAAAGACAAAAAATAAATACATCGGCGTTGTTTAAATTAGCAAATGCAGGCTATAAGCAGAACCCTGTCGAAGGGATTGTATGCTCGGTTAAGAAAATAAAACACGGAGGAGCGGAATAAGGCTGCAGTAACAGAGGGGAGAACCGAGAGAGGCGTGGGGAGTTGATGGAGGAAAACATTGTTTGAGCTTGAACGAATTTCGAAGTTTTGTTGCCGAGGTGTTCTTGACACTGTTTATTTGACTAGATGAAAGACTCTGCGTGGAAGATTTAGACGTGGACGCGTCGAATTTCTGTGAAAATGTTCATTTTTTAAGTGAAACTTTGAGTCTTCGTGAGAGCAAAATCGGTGGCATTGAAAACATAAATAACAGTGAACGAAAACTCTGACAGTGACAAGAAACGTTTTCACGCATGTCGGTTGCTGACATGGGGCGATTTCAGCCAACGTATGATGTCTAGCTGCGGGCGGAAGAACGCCCTGGTAGTTACGGTTTGGTGCATATTTTGTGCTAATCAATATTTATATTGGGGGAGACCAAGAGGCAGAAAGATTTTGCACGACAAATACGTGATTTTCAAGCTGAGTTAAAGAGAACTACGCCAGAGCACACAGTTTTCAAGATAATATAATGCAGAAAATAAGAATGGAACAGATGAAATCTACCAAAGTGAAAACAAAAATTAAGTTCCTTGTTGAGAGTAATGCATGGAGATCTTAACTCACTTTCGTTTACATTTTGAGGTAAAAGTGTAGAGATATTTATATGATACTTTGATGACGTCTTAACTAAATTTATACTGATGGGTGCTTTGGATTTTGCACATTTTTGGTTAGTTTGGGTGAATTTCCTCATTGCCTTAGGAGTGAATATTGGGACGGACTATACTTTCGCTCATTGTTTAGCCGCAAGTGCCTTATCAATACGTGTTAGGTATGTATTTTTATTTAAAAACAAACAAAGAAACAGCATTAATTTTTATTAGCTTTCTCCGCCAGTATTATATCTCTCTACTGTGTGCGTATCTTGAACGGGATTGTATTTTTACGCCAAACGATATAGACCTAAATTAGATCAACAAGGATTGGGTCTAAAAATTAGTTTGTGGTATTGGTGATATAAAGGTACCTTTTCAAACATATCTTGGTATAAAATTTACAAATATTAGTCGCCGACACCTTCAAGTTTCTGCAACTCGGGCCCCGAGGACTAAAATACCTAATTTGTTTTGAGAAAGGTTTCAACGAGTCTGCAAAATGAGCACCGTTTTTATTATGTAAATAGAAGTTTTCCAAATTATCCATTGCCATTTGTCCTGCATTCCGAAGTGTTTAAAGGTGCATATATGTTAAAATTAAATACCCGATAAAGTTCAAATCAAATCAAATGAGTTTATTTCCACCTTGTAAAAATACAGAAGGTAGGGCTGTCGAAAAAAAGTGCGCTTAGCTGCTTGACGACCCCACAGTCCCTGTATTAATTGCAAGTAGGAGCACTACAGTGGGAAGAATGAACATGCATAAAAGGATAATGACAATGAAAACGCAAAGGTATATAGGCATACAAAACAAAAATCATACTCCCATGGTTAGAGACATTGCAGGGCGTTCACTGTACTTAGAGGAGAATGAGTCAAAATGCATAAGCTGATAAGCGTTCAATAATGACGGAAGTGTATAAGACAGGCATTTTCTGTAGTTCAAAAGAGGTATAGACACTACCCAATTTTCTCCATGTCTTGTAGTATGGTTGAATTCTGTTATTTGTACTTGTGCCAGATTACATATAGTTTTTATATTCCTCCGTGTTTCCAAGATATACAAATTGATATTTATATATTTTGTTTGCTGAGATCACGTGCACTGTAAACGAAAAGTAGCCCGGATGGGGGTTTTAAAGAATAAGATACCGATTAAACTCCCAAGCCTAAAGCATTCACTCCCGCACATGGGAGTATAAAAACTAGAAACCACCACTTTACTCTGGTCGCTAAGAGACGAGGTATAAAAGCGACAACACCTGACTTTACTCCCATTTTAAACTGGAGTTCTTGTATGACAACCCTCCGCAAGACGAAATCGGAGTTGAAAATACTCCCATCCGTCCACCCGTCTGCGGGAGATCGGCCGCCATTGACGCAGCCGGCGTTTCCCCCGTCCCGCTCAGTCCCGGCTCTGGCACCAACGGGTTTCCCGTCGTGGAAGAGGTCGTTATAATGGGTCCAAGACGTTTTGGGGCTGGTTTTTGTCCAAAATCCCGACGCTCTCGAACAACAAATATTACACCAGTGAAAAACCAATCACAAAATACGAACTTTTCGCTCAATCTGGCGAATACTCAAAAGTTGAGGGTACTATGGGGAAGCAGAAGACATTCCAGCTCTTTTCGGGAAGACTCAAGTATAGTGCAACCATTGTGTGTTGTTTTAAAGGCCCTTTCACACGATGCATTTTTCTGGCGCATCTTGACTCGCGAAACGAGTTTCGTGAAATGAATGCGCCGTCTGAACAGGACCGAAAAATGTGCGTCTGCATCTCCCTAGGTTTTCACGAAAAACACAGCCAACGGCCTCTCGAGAAAGCTTTCACGCGATCTCAAAAGGATAAGCGAGCCGTTGGCGGGGCCCAGTGGCGGATTAAGAAGGGGGGGGGGGGGGGGGGGGGGGGTACGGTCTGTCCAGATGTTCTGACTTCCTCTTGATTTGTGCATGTGTAAAAATTCGCGTCGTCAACGAGCCCGGAGAGCGCTGCCCGACGGCGGTGACTACCCAGAAGCCCACGCGCGAGCGCCCCGTTCGGGAATTCGGGGCAGCTGGGGCCAGTGTGGTGCTCGAGGCGCTCACTTCTGCGATCTGAATCTGCCGTTCTTGCCGCGTGTCGTCTGCTGTACACGTTTTACCATGCTGGTGTGCATTTCTAACGTTCGTGCGGTCGACTGGGCGATTGTGCGCGTGGACGTGGACTGCTCCGAGGATGTGCTACCGCCGTTAGGGCTATCTGTCTAACGAGCCCGGGCCCATAGGCCTAACAGCCGGTGGTGGTGGGGGTGGTGTGCCGGCGAAAGCGGGAAGCTCCATGACGCGTCAAAGGTAGAGTTAATTAGAATTAACGATGACCTCATGTGTGTGCTATATTTTATCATGTGCTAGTCGTACGTTAAGGCAGCCGTTCCCGATCGATACAAGCGCCATCGAATGTACGGGAACGGAATTCGGGGCAGCTGGGGCCAGTGTGGTGCTCGAGGCGCTCATTTCTGCGAACTGAACCTGCCGTTCTTGCCGCGTGTCGTCTGCTGTCCACGTTTTCCCGTGATGGTGTGCATATTTAACGTTCGTGCGCTTACTGGGCGATTGTGGACGTGGACTGCTCCGAGGATGTGCTACAGCCGTTAGGCCTATATGTCTAGCGAGCTCGAGCCCATAGGCCTAACAGCCGGTGGTGGTGGTGGTGAGGTGCCGGCACAAGCGGGAATCTCCATGACGCGCCAAAGGTAGAGTTAATTAGAATTAAGGATGACCTCATGTGTGTGTGCTACATTTTATCATGTGCTAGTCGTACGTAATGGCAGCCGTTCCCGGTCGAAACAAGCGCCATCGAATGTACGGGAACGGTGGACCCAATAAAACATTTTAACCAAACCGGCCAGAAATTTTCATCTGGAGTGTCTCGGCTAGGTAAACGACAGTAGCGGTCCGCGATGAAAGTGGGACTGAATTTTTGCATTGTTTGTAAAGGTTCCGTGAAATGCGCTACAATTTCAAACGCGTACGTTGTGTAATTAGGCTTCGTCCGCTTTATTCGGTGTCAGTTTCTTGACTCGCCGGACAGACTGGCCATCTGTCAGAAAGAGGTCGCTGTGGAATATCGATTTCATCGAAGCATTCCGGCGGAATCACCAGAGTCGCTTGACACCACTCCGGAAAATCCGCCAAGCAGCTAGTTTCGACAAACCCGATAGTGTGATTTGTGTTTTGTCACATTTGTGTGAGACTTTGGAGAAAATAAATGCTGGTCTGCATTCGTTATCCCCCAACATTTGTTTGTTTTCGATCTGCTAACCACTACCCCGAATCGTTGTTTTGAAGCGGGTCCAAACCACGGGAACGAAAAGGTACCGACTGGGAATTCGACATACGGTACGTGTAAATAGTAATACGACGCGGATGCCGCGAAGACACGCATGCTCAAGGTGGCAGCTCGTCGGGGTGCGCTGGCTGGCCGGGCTGATAAACCAGACAGTGGCGTAGCCAGGTCGTGTTCAAGGGTCGAAACACCTTCGAAATTGCATGGTTTTCCTCTTTCCCCCTTTCCCTTTTTCATTGTCAGCTTTTTTTTCTTCTTTTTTTTTCTTGTTTTGTGAAGGCATTAAAAGTCCTATGTGCTTCTCTTTCTGTTCGACAACCCACTACGGCGAGGGGCCGGAACATTCCAAAGCAAAACGAAGATGACAACACTGTCCGTGGACTGCGTGAGCGTGAGAAATAGAAGTCCGGCTCCGGCTTTCCGAAGAGCTCTCGCCAAACTCGACAGTGTTATTAGCAACCTAAGCCTTCTTCGGGCTCGCAGGTGCGGATGACTCCGCTCCTGACGTAACATAAGCCGCGAAATCCTGACCTCGAAGAACGCTGGCCTCGCCTCGGAGAATGCAGGCGGCTTGAATAAAGTTCCCCTACTCTTTGAGCCTCAAGGACTCCACGCCACTATCAGGGCAGCGAAACAAAATTTCAAAATAGCAATACTTTGACTTTGCAAACCCTACAACCCTACAAACAGGACGACAAAATAACAAACAGCTTAGCTTTCTTTTTTTTTTTTTTTTTCGTCCCGTCTTT